CAACAACCCTGCAACTGCCTGAGGCTCTGTCACACCCCACTCACCTCAGGCTGTTCCATCCCCCCAACAACCCTGCAACTGCCTGAGGCTCTGTCACACCCCACTCACCTCAGGCTGTTCCATCCCCCCAACAACCCTCCAACAGCCTCAGGCTCTGTCACACCCCACTCACCTCAGGCAGTTCCATCCCCCCAACAACCCTCCAACAGCCTCAGGCTGCCACCCACCAGCAATCCCACCAACTGCCGAGGCTCTCCCCACTCTCCACTTCAGGCTGTTCTATCCCCAACACCCCCCAACAGTCTCAGGGTCTCCCATTCCACCAGGAACCCCCACCAGCCTCAAGCTCCACCAGTGCTTTCTCTCCACCCCACTCGCAATGACTCAGTGAACCCAGTCTGCCACACTCTGACCCTGACTCCCTGAAATGCTCTGGACCCCACTGACTTTTCCAGGCTCCCCAGTCACTTCTGAATTCCCATTCCCCAGCTGCTCATGCATCTGCCCAACCCAACTTCCTGTGCAGAGAGGGAGTGCTCCTGCCTCCTTGCCAGAGCGGTCCTGGGCCCTGGGGCACCCTGAGGGGAGTCAGTGACCATTCCTGGTGAGATGTCACCCATGGAGTTGAGCAGATCTTGGTAGCTCTGATCCTGGATGGGGAGAAGGGGAAGAAGGGAGTGCCGCTTCCACAACATGCTCCGGATCCTTTGGGAGCCCCTCTGTAGGGACTGTGCAAAGGAAGGCTCTATGGGTTAGCAGGGAGCAGGGCTAGGGGCTGGCTGGGCCCTGTAGATTCCACTGCTCCCCAGCACTGAGGTAGTACAGGTTAGTGCACACTGCACCTTCAGCAACTAATGCACAGCTTCCCCCTCCATGCTTCCAAGAGCCACCCCCACCTCTGAGCCCTGGCGACGTGGCTCTTTCAGGAGCCGCTCACAGATCCCGGCCCTCTGTGCAGATGGCACAGTTTAGGCCATACCCCCTGTCTCTCCAGGGGAGGGAAGGCCCCACACCTGACTGATTGCATGAGACCTCCAGCGTCAAAGCAATGGAGGGCTCCAAGCAGTGTGTCCCTTTGGGTCACTGGTATGCCACATGGCAGCAGAAGGGAGGTGTTTGAGAAAACTACATGTGGACCAGGTCCATGGGCGATGGGAATTTGCGTGTAGATCAACTGAAGGTGCATTTTGACTTGTAGTAAAACTCCAGTATTTTCAAATATATTTACAGTGGTTTCCATTAAAATATCAGTGTTTTCTTACAATTAGCACTCTGGGGTTTTTCCATGTGCTTTGGATTGGCAATATCTCTAAAGTCTCTGTTGGGAAATGTTGACTTTTTAAAAACAACTACTGTGTCCAGTTTATTTGTTAAGAAAGTTGATTTGCATCTGTCCAAGACACCGTCCTATCTGTGGCTAATTCTGGATGTAATCATCGAAAGGTATCACAGAATAGCCTCAAGGGTTGGGCTGTTTATTTTGGACATTATTTAAGGTTATGCTTATTGGACCATTTTTCATTTCAACATCTCTAGTTATCGAGTCCCCATTAGAAATAAGTGTGTAGACTACTGATCTTTTTGGACCTGATTTGTAATTAGGAGCTGACCAGCGTGTCCACCAATGAACTATGTTCAGAGCCTGACCATTTAAAAAAAAATCAAAGCAAAATATCAAATGGAAATTTAAAGGAAAAATTGAACAATTTAGAGAACATCCTCACTCTGTTTTCCTTTCTATTACTATACCGTGTGTGAATACAGCCCAGGGAGTGAAAGATTTGGCAATGGGAATTTAACCCTTTGGAGACTGGACATGTATAATGCGAGTAAAAGATATTACCTCACCCACCTTATCTTTGTCAATGTTCTAAGAATCAGAGAATAGAATTGTTGATGGCAAGAAAACACTGAATTGGCTTTTGTGTCCGATTTCTCTACACTTGTTATTGATCTTCACCCCACCAAGCTCAGGATATGACTGAGCCAAACAGCTTGTTGTTTGCAAAGAGGGATGTAACTTTTCAAAGGTTACGAGACTTTCCTCTTCTTTGCTGTCTTTACTCTCCCTTTACAAAGTGTTATCCATCCTTTATGCCATTTATTTTGGAATCATCTGAAAAATGTTTTAATGAATCAGCTGTGTATTACTACCCAATAAACTCCTTAGCACTGGGACATCTGCTTTACAGCTGTTGGCAGACAATAATGCTTATTTTCAAAGTGTTAAAAAGAGTTTGTTAAAGGATTGTTGCAAAACTTTGCTGAAGAGACAAGATACCTAGAAAACACCAAACCCTGAATTACAGCGGGTGAAATTCACCACAATGTAGAGAGCCACCACAAGGCCTACATGCCACTTAAATGCCACTTACGCTCTATTTTGAGGGCATAAGTGAGACATAAACGGCACACTGGACTTTTGCTGCATCTCTGCCCGGGGTACATTTCACCCTAATGTAACATAATGTATGTACAGATTAAAAGTGTATAAATACTGGACATTTTATAATTGTAAACAAAATATTTCTCACTTTCTAAGACCCGAGAGCAGGATTTTGCGTTACCCCTGCGAAAGCTAATGATGACATCACAAACACCTAAATAACTGAAGGTTTTAGGGTCTGATTCTGGGCTCACTTACACCATCAATGATGTAAAACAGAATTGGGCCTTTCGTTGCTCATTCTACACATTACAGACCATTCTGTCACTGACTTGAGTGTTTCTTTCTAAACAAACTCTTCCAAGATGCTGAGCTGCAGGGCTCAGCAAACCCTTTGTCAGACCTGAGAAGCAAATCACACTCACTCTGCACAAAGGTGCTGTTTCGGTGACTGTTGCTATGTCCCTTTTGGACAGTGGATAGAGACAATTCATCTGTAGTGGCCAGGAGGGGGAAATCGCTGTCTGTTGAAGTCAGTACCAAGGACAGAGACATTTCCTTAGCCCCCTTTTCCCTACACCAGCCACAGATCCTGGACTGAATTATTTTTCTTTCTGTAAATACCCTGCTTTGTAGTGTTAGCATGTCTATGGGCTGAGATTTTCAACGCCACACGTGGGGTTTGGATGTCCAGTTCCCGCTAACTGTAAGAGAAATTGGATGTCCAAATCTCTTACGTGGCTTTGCAAATCCCAGCCATAATGTTTTGATGGGTAGATGAATATGACTAAAGGATTCAGTTCTGCCAGTGGAAACCTTCCTTTGGCTAAACTCCGACTGACAGATGGAAATTCTGTCTGGAGGAAGAACGGCTATTTCAGAATGATCAATTCTGGGTAGGAGTATAGGCCATGGACAGGGGGAAAAGGGAAGTAGTTGGTGCCGTTTACTGTTGTATATTCTGCGCACATCTCATGCTCCGGCCATAAGTGTAGCAGCACGCTGGCAAATTGAGAGCCCCGGTTAATACTGGCTTCCCAAATATCTGCTGTATATTAAGTGATGGTGATGTTTGTAGGATGTCACTTGCACACCCCCAGTACAAAGCCATTTAGCTCTATCAATTATGGTTCAAGCTATTAGAGAGCTAGGGCCCAGCCCTAACTTGTGGTTGCTGAGCTCCTGTCGGATGGCCGGTCCCTGAGGGATCAGGCCGGTCGCGAGAGGTGACTCAGGCTTGCAGTTGCATTGTCTGTTCAGCTGTGCAACTTCTAAATTCAAGTTGGACTATCATGAAAGGATGGTCTCTAGATAAAAGAAAAAAAGTTCTCAGAAATAAATTCAAACCCGCAGCCCACCCTCTCTCTAAGGATCGGTCTCTGCAGCATGGTATGATTTACGGCTTGGGCAGAAGTACCTGCACTAGCTTTCATCTGGCTAGCAAGCTAAAAAGGACGCCGTGATGGGGGCTTCAGTGGAGGCTAGCAATGACGATACGTACCCAGGGAGGCCAAGCGGGCTTGTACAGCCCACGCTGCCATGTCTTTACTGCTATTTTTAGTGAGCTAGCTACATTAAAGCTAGCGCGGGTATGTCTACCTTCCCCCTCCACGATTGCAGCATAGATGTGGCCTAAATGCCTCCCTGCCTGACTTGTAATGGTCTCAGTTCCACAGCATGTAGAATGCCCATCAACTCCTAGAAGGAACTTCTATGATACACACATGGAACAGATGGACAGCGTAACCCCTAAGAACCACACGTGATATGTGTTGCATGGAATCCAGGGATGAATACATTAATTTGCTTTCCACTCAAATGTTTCTATAGTTGTGACCTCCCAGCCCTGGTCTACACTGCAAACGTATGTCGGTATAACGACATCGCTCAGGGGTTTGGAAACCACTGTCCTAACTCCCAGTGACCCGGCTACTGCCTCTCCCGGAGGTGGAGTACTTGCACCGACGGAGAAACTCTCCCCTCAGCATAGGTAGCGTCATGACTAAGCGCTGCAGTGGCACAGCTGCAGTGCCGTAAGTGTAGACCAGACCTCAGTCTCGGCGTCTGTGATACGGTGATGCCGACTACATAGAACCTCTTCAGTACAAACACAGCAGCATTCTGATCACCCAACATGGCGCCCTTTCCTGCAACCTCAGAACTAGGGTCCTACCAATTTCACGGCCCTGAAAAATGTGTCACAGACCGTGAAATTAGCCCTTCCCCATGAAATCTGATCTCCCCCTTGCTGCTGGGAGCGCCTCAGTCAGGGGGCTCCTAGCTGCAAGTCCTGGCTGGGCTGGGGAGGGAGAGGACTTGTCTTTCCCCTGCATGGCCCCTCTCATTCTCAGGGGGAGATCACTCCCACCTTGGAGTGCCTCCCCCTGCTGCAGGAAGCTGTAGTCCCAGAGGTTCCTGCAGCTGGAGGAGACTTGTGGAGATGGGTCCAATATCCCCCTGCTCCTAGGAACACCCCAGCTGGGGGGGGTCCTAACTGTGAGTCCCTGCTAGGCTGGGAAGGGTCAGGACTTGCCTTGCATGGAAGCTCTGGAATGGCAGGATCAGACCCACTTCCTGGTACCTTGTGGGTTGGGACCCCCATGATTACGACATTGTGAAATTTCAGATTAAACAGCTAAAAACATAAAATTGACCAATTAAAAAAGCCCCTGGTTGTGAAATTGATCAAAATGGACTGTGAATGTGGTAGGGCCCTACTCATAACCGTAGAGTTATTTAATCAGATTCACACTGGAGAGATTGGAGGTGGTCACATGACAAGGGATTTTCCAAGCTAGCCAGCTGCTGCTCTGTATTTATCCAGCTTCCCAAGCGTACCACTGATCAAAAACCGTCAGGGCAATTTGTGCATTGGGTGTAAGGACTGTGCAGCAATTCTGCAGTGACATCCCAGTGCTGACCTCTAAATGAGGACCCTGGAATCCAAAGAGAGGCGCTTGGGATCTCATACGTACATTCGCTATAATTGTGTGTTGTTAAGTGACGGCTCTGGAGTTGCTTAGTGGGCAGTGCTGCTCCCTGTGACAGAAATCATTTCAAGCAGAGAGGCATGCTCATTGTGTAACGCGAAAGTCAACAGTGTGCCAGCAGTCTGGGGTGCTGAGTGCTTTATAGTGGCAGTCCAAAAAACCAGTGCTGACAAGAGTTGTGAGAGGCGCGGTTTTAACAGTGATGATAGGGTTCTTTATGGGGTGGGGGTGGATGCCTTGTCTGGCTTCATTTATACATAAAAAATACTTTTCCAAAAATCGTAAGGGGCTTCTCTCCCTTCCCCGATTGGCTATTACAGGGGGAAGGAGTTTGAATAAAAGTTGCAGCTGAGGCATAGGGCTTAAATGGACACTACATCCAAGTCTAATGACGTATCTTTTCCTCTTGCAGGCCTATACAATTCAGGGACAATATGCAATTCCACACCCGGATGTGAGTTTTACCCTAATTTTTCTTATACCCATTTTACTCTTTTACGTCACCTGCATGATACTGTTAATTACTACTAATATTAATATTAGACAATAATATTAATAGCATATTCTCAAAGTAACAGTCTGTGTGTAGTATCTGTAATACCTTGAATAGCCTTTTAACCTATTAGCACTAAACTTTATTCATATTGAGGACTTGGCCTGATGTTAAATTATTTGTATTGTTCAGTGCTATCCCTTCACTAAGACATAAACCCTATATGCATTTTGTGCCTCAGAGAATGGTCAAAAATAGTCTTTTCCCTCTGTGTCCCCCTCTCCATAAAGTGTTGCGAATGAAACACAATGGCTTATTCCGGGGCTCTTGTGAGGGGGTAGCTACGTTTGAAAGCTTAGAGCGTTCTGCTTGTCTCATAGACTTTGCTTTCTAAAAGCTGTGCCTTCCCACAGCGTGGTCTGTCTTTGGGTATGTTCTCGGTCGTATTGCAAAGGAAGTCTGGGTGTCTGGTGCTGCTGATTTCGCTCCCCACTTTCCAGCGATTATTTTAGACTGAGCCCAGCTAGCTTTTAGAGCCTGGCTGGATCAGTTAGTAGAGCGTGACTCTTAATCTAAGGGTTGTGGGTTTGAGCTCACATTGGGTGATTACTATGGGGGGAGGGATAGCTCAGTGGTTTGAGCATGGGCTTGCTAAACCCAGGGTTATGAGTTCAATCCTTGAGGGGACCATTTAGGGATCTGCGGCAAAAATTTGCCTGGGGAATTGGTCCTGCTTTGAACAGGGGGTCCTGAGGTCCCTTCCAAACCTGATATTCTATGATTGGTTTACAGTCAAACTGTTCAGTAGCCTAAACATAGATGCACACGTTCCTCATGCTTTGGTGGAAGGGAACAAATGTCCCAACCACTCTCTTCAGCCTGGCTTACAAGCAACACCCAAAAGACCCCTAGAAATGAATGGCCACACAGTTTTCTGTGTTGAGTTCAATTCCTAGTCAAGACTGTAGAGGAAGGCCCTTGGTGCTCTCTGTCTTTTCTGGTAAGGTTGTGGATTTTTTTCTGTTGATCTTAACGTTAGTTGTGGGGAGAGGCGACATAGAGAGGAAAGAAAGAAAAGGAGTCTCTGTGCCAAATTCATTCCTGATTAATGCTTATTTCTAGTTAGAAATACCTGGGCTCAGGTGAGCAGGGAGTAAACACATCCCCTCTGTAGCTTTCACCTGTGTGGGTCGTGTGCAGCACCCAGCATAAATTAAAATGATCCTCCTCGACAGGTCCCCCAAGGGAAGGCAGGAGGGATACAGACGCCACCATCTCCAGGAGGCAACTCTCTCCTGCGGTATAGGCCTGTTCCGTATCTTCCCTTGCTGACCCGTTCTGTCATTTTGAGGCATTCCCTCCTTCGTGTGAGGAGAAGCAGGGAAGAAGGCCAAACCATATGTTTTATAATGGTGGGTATGAACTAGGGCAAGTGCACTGAGGTGAGGTGAAAAGAGGCAGTCTTTTAGCCTTCCATAGGTGGAAGGAAGACCTCCCAGCTACTCGGCTCTCGGGAACAGTGAACTGCAGCCACTGGGAGCTATGGGAGGCCGTGCCTGCAGACGGTAAATGTAAACAAAATGTCTCATGGCCTGCCAGCAGATTACCTTGATGGGCCGTGTACAGAAGGTTGCCGACCCCTGCCCTATAAGCTGAGAAGGGGTTACCTCAGGTCAACTAGGGACACCTGAGTCCAGTTAAGGGCTGCCTGAGGCCTTTGAAAACCCCTCCTCGGGGGGGGGGGGAGAGGCAAGCTGCTGCAGGTCAGTAGGGAGATAGGCTTCTCCAGGGTGAGAGGCTGCTCTTGTCTGTACAGCGGAAACAACCAAAGTGACTGCACCCTGGGCCAACACCCCTCCAGAGAGGGGGGAAGGAAAAGGAATCCCCCTTTATTTTGTGTTTGTGAATTTGTTTTTTTATTTGGTGGAGGACACTGTGTGTTTTTCACACAGTTAAATTTTCTCCAAAATTTTCATGAAAAAAGGCACAATTTTCAGATTTTTCCAGAAATGACCCTGAAATCCACCCCCCTCTTTTTTTTGCTTTTTTGAAACCAAAAATGGAATTTTCTCATTATTTCATTTTTTACCGTTTTCTACCATCTCCTATTTCAGAGGCAAAAAGGAAGGGAAGAAAAGGGGAAAACATAAAACCTAAAATAGTGCAAAGTGCAAGGTCATTCACTTAGTAATGAACAACAAGAATTTTTGGTATAAGCTGGGAACTTATCAATTGGAAGTGACAAAGGAGGAGAAAGGAAGAGAGAAACATGGGTGTATTGCTCTCTCTAAATACATCAGAGGGATAAACACCAAGGAGGGAGAGCTGTTATTTAAGTTAAGCGCCAATGTTGACGCATGAACAAATGGATATAAACTGACCATTAATAAGTTTTCTAACCATCAGAGGAGTGAAGTCCTGGAACAGCCTCCCAAGGGGAGCAGTGGGGGCAAAAAACTAACTTGTTTCAAGACTGAGCTTGATAAATTTATGGAAGGGATGGTATGATAAGATTACCTACAATGGCATGTGGCTCATCTGTGACTGCTAGTAGCAAAGATCCCCAGTGGCTGGGGATGGGACAGTAGATGGGGAGGGCTCTGAGTTACTACAGAGAATTCTTTCCCAGATGTCTGGCTAGAGGATCTCGCCCATGTGCTCAATGTTCAACTGATCACCATATTTGTGGTCGGGAAGGAATTTTCCCCCAGGTCAGATTGGCAGAGACCCTGGGGGATTTTCACCTTCTCTGCAGCATGGGGAACAGGTCACTTGCTGGTTTGAACTAGTGTAAATGGTGGATTCTCTGTAACTTGAAGACTTTAAATAATAATTTGAGGACTTAAATAATGCAGCCAGAGGTTAGAGGTCTTTTAGAGGAGTGTTTCTCAACCTTTTTTTCTGAGTCCCCCACCCCCGCCCCGACATGCTATAAAAATTCCACGGCCCACCTGTACCACAAGAACTGGTTTTCTGGATATAAAAGCCAGGGCCACCACTAAGGGGTAGCAAGCTGGTCAGTTGCTTAGGGCCCCATGCCACAGGGGGCACCGTGAAGCTACGTTGCTCAGACTTCTGCTTCAGCCCCAGGTGGCGGAGCTCGGGGCCCTGGGCTTCAGCCCCATGCAATGGGACTCTGGCTTTCTGCCCTGGGCCCCAGCAAGTCTAACACTGGTCCTGCTTGGATGGGGTGGGTGAGATGGTCCCTTCTGGCCTTAAAGTCTATGAGTCGCGGAGACCAGGCTCTTAGAGCTGGGTCCTTTGCTGCATTAGCATAGTGGAAGGACCCTCCTGCAGGAAGTGGTGATTAGACCATGATGAAGGCATATTCCTCTGCCGACAATGGTCAGGCTGTTGCCTAAGGTCAGCTCCATTGTGTCTGTTTGCATGCACAGCCTCCCAAACAATCCAGGATATGACAAACCCATGAGGGTCATGAATACTGATCCTAGTGATTTAATGGAATATTAAGCTCATATTCTGTTAGTCTATTTGCAAATGCATTCTGTGGGCCTTGTGATGTGATTTTGTCAGATCTTTTACGCTATGAAGGTTGGCCATAATCAGTACTTGGATGTGAGTCTTCCAGCTATGACATATACCTGCAGGTGCTTTAGAAAGTAATACTGGAGATTCAGTAGGTGGAGCTCTTCCCTCTGAGGCAGTACTGAGGTAGAACTTCATATGGGATTAGTAGCTCTGTGCTGCTAGAACCCCGACTTTTAGATAAAATGTAAAGTTGAGGTCCTGATCAGTTGTGTTCAGTAGAAATGCCTTTGCACTTTCCACAAAAATGAGTGCCATGGTGAAATTCTACTCCCCAAAATCTGTGGCATTGGTTATGATATTCTTTCCTTCCTGGCCTCCTTTGTTGTATATTTTTCTGTGTGCAGACTGAAGGCTGACAACTTCTACTTAGAGGTGGTTGCATTTCAGTGGTGAGTGAAGTGGTTGCTTTCTCTATAGTTGGCAATCATTTTATGAAATTTGTAGAGTGTGTTGATTGAAGAGCCAGTGACTGGATGAGTGATAGAAAGGAGCTGCGTTGCTACTGATATGCTTGCTTGTCTCGATGCTTGTATTTAAATGCTAAGCAGATATGGGCCTGGTTAGTACTTAGATGGGAGACCAGGGCAAGGTGAGGTCTGTGGAATACATGTATCCCTTGTGTACCAGGCAGACGCTGACTGACCTCAGCTCTTGCTAGCTACTAACAGGATACCAGAGTCTCCTTTTGTTTGATAGGTAACCTTATTGGTTTTGATTTACTATCTCCCTGGAATGTGTTCATCACAAATAAAGACAATCCTTTATTTGACAGATAGCTGCGTGGATATTTCGCGTAAACCTATGCTGTCCACATCTAGTTTTGCCATTTTTATTCATTCTTGCCAGTATTCACATTTGTTGTGGCTTTTATTATTTTGGAGTGGTGTTGGGGATGAAGGGAATGCAGAAGATTTTTGAGGAGCAAGTATACAGATGAATAGTGGGACGTATTTTTTGGACAAAATAGTGATAAAAATAGAAAACATGATTTATTTTACACGTTTTGTCCTTTTTTTATAAACAACAAAGAAATAAGATGCAAGAGGCTGCTTTACTGCAACGTGAAGACAGAAATTTAATTGCATGCTGCCAGGAAGCCAGATGCTCCCCTGATGGAACCTGGCATTGCTTCAGTGGGCTGTCTGACCCAGGGCATTCAGGGTTAAGGTTCCCTGGGCAACTTCAGTTGTGTCCCCTTCACTTATGCTTCACAACAGCACCTCTTATAACATGATCATACAACTCTAGGATATGTGACATGTTGGTCTGAATCGCCCCATCCCTGTGACACACGTGCGTAGCACTTCATATCACGTATGCAACAGATGTCATTACAAAGACAAAATATGCCACGGTGGCCTCTCAGTTCAGCATGAGGGCAAACAACGGTAACCTCTTGACAGCACCCTGTG